TCAATTTGCATTTTTCTAACGGCTAGTGATGTTGAAGATCTTCCCACGTGCTTGTTTGTCATCCATAGATGTCAGTGACATGTCTCTTGATGACTTTATCACATTTTCTAATTGGATCGTTTGGTTTTTTTTACTCTTGAGTATTCAGTTTTTTGTATATTTTAAATGTGATTATTTTATCAGATATGTGGTTTTCAAAACTTTTCCACAATCTGTAACTTTTCTTTTTATCTTCTTATTGGGGCCATTTACACAGCAACGTATTAAGTTCTGACAGTCCAGTTTATAATTTGTTTCTTTATGAGCCATGTTTTGACATCAAATCTAAGAATACTATCTCAAAGACTTTCTCCTACATTCTTCTAAAAGTGTTATAGTTTTATGCATTACATTTACGTCTATGATCAATTTTGGGTCTATTTTTTGTATCAGGTGTGAGGTTTAGGTTAAGGTTTACTTTTTTCTCTTGCATATGTTCAACTACCTGGCATCATTTGTTGAGCAGGTTGTCCTCATTGACTTGCTTTTGCACTTTTGTCACAAACAAGTTGGGTGTATTTTTGTGTAACTAAGTCTAGGTTCTCTCTTTTGTTCCATTAATTTAAGTGTCTGTTCTTCTACTAGGGCCACACATAGAACATATTGAAGCAATAATTGGCAAAACATTTTATTTCCTTCAAAAGTAAAGGAATGGACCACCATGATGACAACCATTCACATTTGTCAAAATGGTTATCATCGATAAATCAACAAATAACAAATGTTGGTGAGAACGTGGAGAAAAAGGAACCCTTGTGTGCTATTGGCAGGAATGCAGACTGGTTCTGCCATTATGGAAAAGAGTATGGAGTTCTGTCAAAAAATTAAAAATGGAACTGCCTTATGACCCAACAATTCTAATTCTGGGAATATATCTTAAGAAACCCAAGGCACTAATTCAAAAGAATACATGCACCCATACATTCATTGTAGTATTATTTACAGTAGCCAAGATCTGGAAACAGCCTAAGTGCCCATCAGTAAATGAGTGGATAAAAGAGCTGTAGTACATTTACACAATAGAATACTACTCAGTTGTAAAAAAAGGAAATCTTACCTTTTATGACAGTATCCAGGGACCTGGATATTATTTTACTAAGTGAATGAAATAAGTCAATCAGAAAAAAAACAAATACCATGTGATCTCACTTATGTGGAATCTAGTGAACAAAATAAACCAATGAACAAAATAGAAACAGAGGCATGGGTACTGGAACAGACTGACAGCTGTCAGAAGGAATAGGGGTTGGGGTACTGGATGAAAGAAGGTGAAGGGATTAAGAAAAAAAAAGTGTGTGTGTATGTAATATATATATTTCTATATATATTACATACACACACAGAACAATGTGGTGCTAGCCAGAGGAAAAGGGGGTGGGGGTAGGTGGAGGTGGGTAAATGGGGTCTAACAGAGACTTTGCTTGGAGAATGGGCACACAATGCAGTGTGCAGATGGTGTTTTATTGAGTTGTATCCTTGAAACCTGTATGGTTTTGTGAACCCAATATCACCCAATAAGTCCAATTTAAAAAGATAAAAAAAATTATCCAGCCAGTGTGGCTCAGTGATTGAGTGTCCACCCATGCACCAGGAAGTCGCCAGTTTGATACCTGTTCAGGACACATGCTCAGGTTGTGGGCCCAATCCCCAGTGGGAAGCATGCGGGAGGTGGCCAGTAGATGTTCTCTTTCATCGATGTTTCCATCTCTATCTCCCTCTCACTTTCTCTCTCTAAAATTGATAAAGGGAAAAAAAATAAAAATAAGACAATTAAGTGAATGGATTTTTTGCAAAGTGGGTTTTTATTGCTCCTAATCATTTTCATTGGGTGCTCAATTATTTTGTATTTGTTTATTTTTATCTGCAAAATATTTCAAAAGGTTTCTAGAGTTCATAGTTGTGGAAGAGATATATCTTAAATTTAACTTAATTTTTCCAATAGTATAACACTTATTATCTTAGTTTAGTGTGAAGTGATATCTTCACTTTTTTTCTATACATCAGGCTCTGCATCTTCTGTTAGGTTTGACAATGTATCTTTCTTTTGTGTGTGTATTGACGTGTGTTGAACAAAGTTCTGGACTACCAGTTCGAATAGCTGTGTATTGTTTTTCTATTTTGGTAACAATATTTACAATGTTAACTGATTTTTTTCCTCCTCCTCCTCACATTTTATGGCCCTTATTTCTCTTCCATTTTTCCCCTTTGCTGACTAAAATCTTCATATGAGGTAGGATAGAAGCCTTCCTTTTCTAAATTTGTAGCATAATTTCAAGTAGTGACAAACATTCACAGGTGTTCTAAAATAAGCCATCCTTTCATTCCAGGGACAAATTACACACTCCTGGGTTCATTTAGTTAATATTCATGTAGACTGTTTACATGTATAGCTATATATGAGATTGATCTGTAACTCCCTTTTTTGTGAAGGCATCATTTGGTTTTGATAACAAGTTTATTCTCGTCTCCAAAATGAGTTGAGATGTTTTTCATCTTAGTGCTCCAGTGATGAATTTCAAGAAGTTTTGAGAAGGCTGCCTCAAAACTATGTTTCCTATAACCTTGTTATATTTAGTGACTGTCTTACAGATTGATAGGAGCACATATGCAAAGATAGCTGATAACCTCATAATTAGACAGAAAGGTTTCAGTGCCCATTTCCAGAATACAAAATACATCAAAGAAAATCAAAGCATGGGGAATTATTTAACAAGAAAATATATTAAAGATCAGTCTGTTACACATGTATGGATTAACATTTAACAGCCTTAGCTTCTTATTTTCCAAATTATAAGGGGATTAATTTACGAACTACTTTCAACGCTCCTTCGAATAGGCTGAGAGGGTTGTTCAGTGAATCACGAGCTGTCACTCACTCCTTACATGTTGTTTAAGTCCCCCTCTAAGAGTTAAAAACTAGAGGACTGTTGTGTTTGTTAAGTTATCCTCCACGTCCGACTGTGTGCTACTCAGCTCATGACACTACAGTGGTTTTGCTTTAGGTTTTTCAGTGGTTCAGGGATTTCCTGGGCACCTGATGGCAATGCAGGAAAGTCATAGAAGTGCAAGTGTCTTGAGAATCCAAGTCAGTGGATTAGACTTGGTGCAGTTTTCTAAACAGATTTGAAATGAGAAGATATTTCCAGTACATTATTAATGAACTCACAATCTGTTTGTGACAGTGATAATGGCTTCTTATCAAACAAACATTCATGGAGAAATTTGTTATTATTTCAGAACTGCTGTTGTGTCTTTGTTTAGGTCATTGGAAAGGGATACTTATTTGTGGTTATTTGGTACTCCTAGCTTCACTCTTATAGTTACTTAAGAGTTTTATGAAAATATATGATTCTAAAACGTTGTCGAATGATAACCAAAATAAAAGTATTCAACATGATACTCTCCCTTCCCTCTTTCTATATTAAATACATGTCTGTAGAGAATCATTCTCTCTTTCGCTCTCTCTCTTTTGAACCTGTCATAAATTCATCTCTTTGGTCTTAGACAAGTCACAGTCTGTCTCAACTTAGTTTACTTGCAACATAGGGATGGTCATGCCTGGTGGTTGTGAGAATCATATTTTGCAAAACATCAAGTAAAACAGAAATAGAAATAGCATCACAACTTGCTGTCATTTCAAAGTAATAGGGCACCTTTACAAGGATAAAGTAGCAGAACCCATACTGCATGGTATCTCCAGGTATGGTGTATGATGAACCACATTTTTGTGCATGTATAGTTACTTTTATGTACTTGATACTTACATCATATATATCTTGAGAGAAAAACATATAAACACTTATCTGAACCTGGATTTGTGAGCCAGATTCTGAAACGTTCAGTGCTTTAACATTAATTTTCTGCCAACAGAAAAATTTTAACCAAATGGTAAATATATGAGCTAGTACAATTCCATTACAGGTGTTTTGTGTGGTGTTTATTGGAAGTATCATCTTGAAAGAAAGTGAATATTTCCATTTTCAGGACAGAGAACTCAGTTTGTCAATCACTATATTAATAAGAAAGAATACAACAGCAACAATTCTGTTCATGATTTTGAGTTGCCAAGAGAAAAATCTCTATTCATTTGCTCAATTTTTATATTTAACCATTGCTAGGTTTATTAGAAACGAATGTTGCCAATCACTAGGAAATGTGTTTAGCAATAAATTGGTGAAAATGATCATTGTGTCATATAAACAATTGATAGGATACCTACACTCTATATAAACAACTTATAGCTTACATGTATTGTATTACATTAGATTAGCAGAGTCATCAGGATATGCGAAACCAATTATGTTAGGGTGTGCTGAAAGAATTAGAATGGCTTTCGGGCAAAATTTATTACATAAAGTTTAGTCAGCATTATTCAATTAGATGAAGGATCTTAACGCAGTGGTGATAATTTTGTGGCTTTGGTGTAGCTTTAAAGAAGTAATAAAACAGATTGTTAGATGTTAAACAAAACCACGCATCTGTATCTAATTCATTTTTTAATTTGTTTTATTACCATGCAATCTTTTTTTTCTTTTTGTTGAATTTATTAAGGTGACAATGATTAACAAAATATACAGGTTTCAGGTGTACAGTTCCAAAGCACATCATCTGTACACTGTACTGTGTGCTTGCCATCCTAAGTCAAGTCTCTGTCACCATTTATTCCCCCCACCCCCCATACTCTCCTCCACCTCCCCACACCTTTCCCCCTGACAGTCAGCTCACATCTTGAGTAAGATATTAACTGTAAAAAACGAGAGAGAAAAAAAGATGAACTCTCTTTGTTTTTTTCCCAGTCTGTATATAGGGCTCAGCATTTGTATGTCGAGCACAAAGAGGAATGAATGAGTTTCTGACTTGTGTGATGGGAATAGAAAGCCAAGTGTGTTCTGTGATGCTACTGTATTTGTTGTGATAATGGGTCCACTGACTTTCCCACTGCACTTCTTTCAGGTTGCTTTCAGCTATGTAATGTTTTCCGATCCCATGAAATGGAAATTGACCAGTGTTTGCTGGAGACCCTTCCCCTTGGCCAAAGGCAGCGGCTGGTGAAACGCATGCGCTGTGAACAAGTCAAAGCCTACTATGAAAGAGAGAAGGCTTTTCAGAAACAGGAAGGCGTCCTGAAGAAACTGAAGCATGGGAAGAAACAGAAAGTCCATTTCAACCTTGCTGACATGATACAGGATGCAATTATCCACCATGATGACAAAGAAGGTACATAACACAAAAAGTTTTCTGATGTGGCTTTTTTGTTGTGTTAGTTTGTTGTGTTTTGGTCGGGAGATGAAGGATAAACTTTATTTTATATATTATTAGGGGCTTTCTTTTAACTGAGATACTCAAGAAAAAATATCTTTTTTATGAACAGAAAGTCTTGAGTCTTCTAGTAAAGATTTAAAAACTGCAAAATTTTGGTTAAATTATGGTATATGTTTTTTAAGAATTTACTAACCGAAAAGCAAGTGATTTCTTTGCAAATTGCTCATTCCAACAGTTAATGAAATTTTTTAAAATGAAATTGTTTCCTTTGAAGAGGAGATTGTGTAGTAAAATTCCTTAGTATCTCATTCATGAATAGATATAGTCATACATTCAGTTTCCCTCAAACTCTCAGGATATAGGAGTCAATTGATTTATTCCTTAAAATGAACTGGCTTGTAGTATCAAATTTTATTAAGAATACACAATCCAGCCCTGGCTGGTTTGGCTCAGCAGTTAGAACATTAGCCTGTGGTCTAGAAAGACCTGGGTTTGGTTCCGACTAAGGGCATGTGCCATGGTTGCAGTTTGTCCCCAGCCCTGGTTGGGTTGTGTCGGTGGCAGCCACTCGATGTGTCCCTTTCATGTCGATGTTTCTCTCTCTCTCTCTTCCTCTCTCTCCCTCCTACTCTATCTGAACAAAAAATGGAAAAATGTCCTCGGGTGAGGATGAAAAAAAAAATACACAATCCAAGTTTTAGCTGTTTTTACAAAACTATTAAGCTTCGTATATTTTTGTGTAGGCATTTTTGTTTTTAGACTATAATTTCTGAAGTTCTAATGTGTGAGAAACTTTCCAGCTGTAGGATAAATATGATAAATATGGAAGGCTTCAAGGAAGCAAATAGAAATTAATTTATCTTGATGGTCTCTAAAACCATTGGTTGAATTAATCTAAAATAAGCCTCACAATCCATTAGCTGCATTTCAAAGTCAAGTCTCTGAAAACCAGTTGTATTTTGGTGATTAATGTAATGGCAAAATTCTTCCTGAGCTATTTATATTTTTTTAACCTATACAATCTGGAAAAGTAATACATTTTGTAACATACGTGTTCCCAAAGCTTTCAGATAGGGTTCATGGTTTTGTATCTAAGAAAACTGACAGTACATTATATACAATAATAGCTATAAGAAGAAGACTAAAGCACTTCTTTTCATGGTTCGTGTGGGCTGGTTAGTCAATCTAGAATACTATGGGAAGTTCTGAGATTTTTTTTTTTTTAATGCAATGACAGTGGCAGAGAATCTCTGAGCAGAAAAGTACCTACAGACCATTTAGTCCAGTGCTCTTATTTTACACGTAAAGAACTGTCCCAGAGCACTCTTACGTCTCATTTTACTATTCTCTTCTCACGTGTAACTTTCCATCGGATGGCCGTCCCCTCTGTGAAGCTATAAGCAAACAGAGCGGCAGGAACACTGTCAGTCAGGTCCGCTGCCTCCTGCTGCTCATCCCAGTACCTTCCAGTGGTGCGAGAGAGGGAAGAAGTTTGTCCAAGCTCACGAGACAGTAGTTGTGAGAACAAATCTAAATCAGAATGCGGGCAGATTTAAGCCCTGTATTGATTTAAAAGTAAAGAAACAACAAAAAATTTGCTTGCACAGTTATAAAATCTCTTGTGTAAATTATTTACAGGGCAAAATAATGCATAAATTAAGGCTAAAAAGAAATTAAAATACTGGAATAATAAATCCAGAAACCAAGAGGAAACTATTATATATAAATAATGCTATAATGTTTCCTAAACTAACTAAATTTTGGGAAAAATGCTGAAGTTATAATTAGCTTTGAGTTGGTTTTATTGAAGAACTTGCTTTTTGGGTGTTTGTTTTTTGAATTGCAATGTAGAGAAAGAATGGGACAGTAAGCTTACATGTTTTATTTGGTGTAATGACCAACATAAAGGATTCAAAACGATAGGGACAATAGGAAGCAGAAGAAATATCACACACACACACACACACACACAATATTATTTGTACTCTTGCTAATTACTGTACTAAATCCTTCCTATAAACTATGTTGTTTATTCTTTATGACAGAAGTAACTCAAATTATTCTGAAGATTCTTAGAAAAGAATATCCTTAGAAAGACAACTTATATAACTTTATTACTCCCAAGAAATAGTTTTATTATTAATGGAAGCAAAGATTATATTCAATAACTAAGATCAACATTAGCATCAATGATGAAATAGCTGAATAACTTTTAGAACTCAACAAAAGAGTTTAAATTTCTAATCAATTATTAAAAATTTAAGTACATTATTGCAATGTAAATTAAAATATTTGTCTACAGAGGGGTTTTAGCTCTGGCTCCCATAAGAAAATACTATAAACTGGGTTGCTTAAACAACAGACATTAATTTCTCATAGTTCTGTAGGTTGGATAGTCCAAAATCAACATGCCACAAGATTGGTTCTTTAAAATATATATATATATATATGTATATATATATATACACATACACACACACACACATACATATATACATACATATGTATGTATATACATATAGATAGATGATAGATAGATAGATAGAGAATGCTTCATGAATCTGTGTGCCATCTTTGCACAAGGACCATGCTAATTTTTTCATTATCAGTTCTGTTTTAGTATATGTGCTGCTGAGGTGAGCACCAGTTTTGGTTCTTCAGAGTGCTTTTCCTAGCTTGAAAACGATGACTGTATCCCCAGATGGTGGAGAGAGAAAGCTCTGGTCTCTCTAGTTTCAATGTTCCCATGGAGGCTCCGCCCTCATGATTTTACCTAACCCTAATTACCTCCTAAATAAAGCCCCAGATCCTAATATCATCACATTGTGGGTTAGGGCTTCAACAAGTGAATTTTATGAAGGACAAATTCATAACAGATGGTATATTTATTCTGTATTTGAAACTGACCTACATATGAAATAATGGTCACATCTCTTACTTCTTTGAGTTTATCATCAACCTTGGACACTCCCACATAAATGCCAATATACTTTCTGTGTCAGAGGGAAAGTATTAATTTCTTGCAAATTTAAGAAATTAAATTGCATTGAAAATATAAGCAATCTCTTTGGAGGCATTATACCCTCTCTAGTATATGTTTTACATCTAGAATTGTATCTAGGGAAAAGTTTACACTTAGTCATGGTAGTCATATTTTCATTTTTCTTCAAGCTACTCAAGTAATCAAATGTACACATTTATACAATTGAGACAGTAAAATAATGTTGCCATAAGAACAAGCCCTTTTCATTTAAGTAATAGCTTAAAACTTTTCAGATTGTGTGTTTTTGTAAATTAAAAACATATATTAGCCCTAAGTATGTTTATTGGCTTATTGAATATAAATAGTCAAATACACTATTTCAGAGGAGAACATGCTAAGGTTTATGGCTTGTCATTTGGAAGCAATTCAGGATTTTCGTTTAACTTTATAAGTGTTGCATTTTTGTACATATATATTTATTATCTTTGATGCCTTATTGTTTCTTTGTGGAAGATGGTGACATTTTAGTCTATGTGTCATTTTTAATATACTGCATAAATCTAAATATGTTCAACAATTCTTTTCCATCTTACAGGAAAAATTCTTCTAAATTTTCTTTTAAGGCTTTTGATTTAACTCTCTTTAAGTTATGTGATACAAAAGATAAATAGAGGAGAGAGACAGAGAGGCAGAAAGACAGAGAAACAGAGAGGCAAAGAGACAGAGAGACAGACTGGGAGAATTTAAGAGACAGAGAGAAATGTATGTAGAGAACATTTAAATGGGAATGCAGCCCTGGCAGGTTTTGCTCAGCGGTTAGATCATTGGCCTGCAGTCCAGAGATACCAGGGTTTGGTTCCCCCTAGGAGCATGTACCTCGGTTGCAGTTTGTCCCTGGCCCTGGTTGGTTCGTGCAGGAGGCAGCCACTGGATATGTCCCTTTCACATTGATGTTTCTCTCTCTCTCCCTTCCTCTCTCTCCCTCCCACTCTATCTGAACAAAAAATAGAAAAATGTCCTCGGGTGAGGATAAAAAAAATAATAATAATAAATGGGGATGCAGTTTCTACTATTAGACATGCTACTCCCAAATGTCAGTCAGTTTTTACTAATTAGTCCATATATATTTTTACTAAAAGTCATTATTATTTTATTATGTAGCACTTTTCAGGCATACCCAGCCCTGTCTGTACTTTACACGACCTTATTCTCTCCATTCTCCTGTGTGCAGTAGGTAGGATCTTCTTCCTATTATAAGGGTAAAGATCTTGAACCTTAACAGAAACTAAGTGCAGCTCCCCAGTCCCCCAAAATTGTAAATTTTGTTTACAATTTAAGGGCATTTACTTGTTAATTTCTGTGCCAAATATTTACTGAGGGATTGTTTCAGCCACACAAAGAACTTGTAAGCATAGCTATAGACCTGTGATGTCAAACTTCATGTATGTCTCTATTTAACCTAAAATTGTAAGTATTCTCTTCAGTCCACCTGAGTATGGAAACCATGTTTTTATCCACAACACCATACTGTCTCTCAGGTTTAGTTCTTTTTTTAAAAACGACTTTATTGAGTTATGATTGACATCCGAATAGCTGTAGATATTTACTGTGCACACATTGCTGCGTTTGGAGACAAGCATACCCCAGATGTGAAGCCATCGCCAGAGTCAAGGACATAAGTTACCCATCCCCTTCAGAAGTTTCCTTCCGTCTTCTTAATTTTTAAAAATTAAATTACTTTTTATTTATAGTAACTGCACTTAACATGTCACTTTTCCAGCTGCTTTCTGATAGAAAATGAACTCAACCATCAACTCCACATGTTGATTTGCTTCCGTGGCCATTTGACATATTTCTTGCTCTTACCTAGCAGAGCTCTTTGCCACTGTCAAGGGAATTGCCAAAGGCAGGGGCTGAGAGTCTTTATGCTCTGCTGTGTTCCCTCCTCTTTCCCTGTCAGATTGTGTACATTTATACATTAGCTCCCCAGTCCCCCAAAATTGTAAATTTTGTTTACAATTTAAGGGCATTTACTTGTTAATTTCTGTGCCAAATATTTACTGAGGGATTGTTTCAGCCACACAAAGAACTTGTAAGCATAGCTATAGACCTGTGATGTCAAACTTCATGTATGTCTCTATTTAACCTAAAATTGTAAGTAGTCTCTTAGGAGAAAGGAAAAGATCACATTACAACCATGTGAGACTGTCTTCTCCTACGTCTCAGCCCTGGTCCCAGTTTCCTTTGAGGACTAAGGTCCAAGGCCCATAGTCAGAGATTCCAATCTTAACTCTCTTCTCTTTCTACCTGTGGTCTCGGGAAGCTTCCCCTCTTCCCCGTGCATTCACCCCCTCCCACTCCTGTGAGTCCCAAAGTGTATTGAGACCTTTCTCCTGAGTTGTGGACCTCACCTTAGTGATGGCCTTACATTTCTAGCTTATCATGTTCAAAATTGAATATCTACCTTCATCTCCTTCCAAATCAAAGTTGTCTTTTATAGTCTCTATTTCAGCTAATGTCACCATCACTTCCCTGGTCTTACAGCCCAGAAACTGGATGTCATGTTGATTTAAGTGCACATTTGTAAAGCGTCATGCCTGTACCTCCTTGGAATAATTCACAGGAAGTGTCAGCTGTTTGTATATTATCCAGAGCCCTCCAAGAATATACCTAGAGTGCAGTAGAGGCTCAGTATGTATCAGATGCTCTATTGCTAAGCTGAATGAACATCTCCTCATTTAGAATTTCATAAATAAATCATTAGGACCAGGTTTTTTCTCCTATACCTACCCCTCTACCCGTAAACGTGTAGCCTTAGGTCTGAACATGGTTCCGTGCATTCCTTCAGTGTTCTGTCAGGAAGCAGAGAGGCCGCCTGCAGATCCTGGAGCCTGCGAGTGCTTCGGGGACCCTGTCCTCTCGTCACGAGCTCGGCACCGACGTTCAAATCCTGAAGTAGCTGGTTATTTACTTATCTATGTATCCCTTTATTTATTTAGATTTTATTATCTAGAGTATAAATGAAAAAGGAGCCAGTTATATTTTTCCACTGCTGCTCTTTAACCGACACTGCCTCTGTAAAGATGGCCATCCGCTCTGGCACCGGTTCCCTAGCGGTGGGTGGAGTTTCCTGCGCAAGGCAGCCCCACGCTCTGCCCCTCACCTCCCCGTAACCGGCTGCACAAATGGGCATTTAGAAAATGTGAGCATAAATGGGTTAAAGCTGACCCCCCACAGTGATGGAAACCAAGGCTCTGCCACCCTTAGAACAGTGGTCAAAACAACCAAACAGGTATCCAACCCTGGTTCCCTACATGCATTTATTGTGAACATAATAGAGTGTGGTGTGTGTTAAGTTCTCTACAAGGAAAAATAATTCCAGATCGGAAAAATGGGAGTATAATATACCTGACATGGATATGTACAGCCTGTCTCCAAAAGAGCTGGAGTCAACAAACATCAATGTCTTGTGTATTAGATACTTGGGGTTGTAAGCCAATATAAAGCATTATCCTTTATTCAAGGAAGATGTAGGAGAAAGAACAGTCCCAATGAAGAGACAGCAGTATACTGTTGTCTACATCTCCCATGTTCAAGCAGCACTGAGCCTGAGCAAAGGGGAATGATGGGTTTATCAGAATTACCCCTGTCTTGTTAACTTCTCAATAATAGTGCAACAAAATCTTTGAAGCTGAGCTGTAAATTAATCCAGTCCTTCAACTTGGCAGAAGAGGGAGAGGATGTGGGAAGATGTTCACATAAGATGTTTAATGGGACGGACACAGGAACGAAAGGACCACTTCTAGAGAAAAGGGTGGGCTTTTCAGCCACAGGCAAAGCTCACATCAGAGATCTATCTGGAAGGCTAGATGTGTGTACATGCTGAATCCAGTAACCGCGGGCAGGGTTGAATTTCACAGAGCGAGGTTCACTGGACCATGATGCTTTCAATGAACAGGTAACAGCTGCTAAGTAATTAAATGTCCCCATTTCAAAATCAGTTATAGAATCATAAAGAGTTGGATATTAAGTGCATTTAAACTCTACGGGATTCTGTATGAATTTAATGAGTGGCTTAATAATTCACCAGTACCAAATTCATATTCCTGAGAAGCATTAATTCTTTAACTTCCTGCTAAGTAATCACAACTTTACCAAGGTCTGTGAAAGGAATTGGAAAAAAAAAAAAGTGCTTCAAAAGCATTTAGAATCTCGATGGAAAGACATGCTGTCTTTTAAAAAACAAGCAAACTAGAAATGGGTCCTTTTAAAAGACATTGCAGTGTGTCGTTCGTTCATTGGGGTGAGATGAGGATGAGCTGAATCAGAAACTCTGCTCTGTGGGAAAATGTTCCAGTCTAGTAGGAGAAGAGAAAGGGACATTTGGACTGTGAAAAACAGCTTGAGTGCAGGGACAGAGGCAGGTTTCTGATAGGAGAGCATGACGACACAAACATCGCTGAGAATCCACATCCAGGGCTCTGACTCTCGGTCGGGGTGATGAGTTCCATCCCTATAATAATATTTATGAGCTGTGTCCCTGGCCAGGGCCCTATCTTTGCCTCACCTTCTTATCCTGCAAATAAGGGTGAAGAAGCAGAGGCGAACCTCTCTCCTAAGTGGCTGTGAGGATCAGTTAGATAATTCATGCAAGGAACTTC